AGAGAAAGAGAGAGAGAGAGAGACGAAGACGACACCTGAGTTCGAGGAGGAGGAGGAGGAGACAAGAAGAAGACGGCGAGGAGGAAATAAAGAAGAAGTACAAGATGACGATAGGAGGAGGAGGAGGTGGAGGAAAGAAGAAAACGAAGAGTACATGAAGAAGAAGAAGAAGAATATTTATTAAATTAAAAAAAAAAAGTGTGCTAACGTGGCAGCCGCACGACGAAGACGAAGATGACAGGGGAGAGAAGAAGAAGGTAAGAAAAAAACGAAAAAAAAGGTCACGCGTGCTAATATGGCAGCCGCGCGACGACGATTGGACTTCACGAGGAGGAGGAGATGGAGGTGTAGGAGGTAGAGAGGGAGGAGAAGAAGGAGGAAGACGAGGGGGAGGAGGGGGATGAGGAGGAGGAGGAGGAGGACAAGGAGGTGTACGGGGAAAAGAAGAAGAAGAAGAAGAAGAAGATATGTCGAAGAAGAAGAAGATATGCTGAAGAAGAAGAAGAAGAAGAAGAAGAAGAAGAAGAAGAAGAAGAAGAAGAAGATTAAAAAAAAAACGAAAAAAAAAGGTCGCGCGTGCTGATATGGCAGCCGCGCGACGACGACCGTACTTGACAAGGAGGAGGAGATGGAGGAGGAGGAGGAGGAGGAGGACGAGGACGCGGAGGACGACGACGAGGAGTAGGAGGAAAAAAAAAAAAAAAAAAGAAGAAGAAGAAGAAGAAGAAGAAGAAGAAGATATAAAAAAGAAGAAGAAGAAGAATATTAAAAGAAACGGAAAAAAAAAGGTCGCGCGTGCTGACGTGGCAATCGCGCGAGGACGATCAGACTTGACGAGGAGGATGAGATCGAGGAGGTGGAGGAGGACAAGGAGGAGGAGGAAGAGAACGAGGAGGAGGACAATGACGACGACGAGGAGTAGGAGGAAAAAAGAAGAAGAAGAAGAAGAAGAAGAAGAAGAAGAAGAAGAAGAAGAAGATGTGACGAAGAAGAGAGGAAAAAGAAGAAGATAAAAAAAAAACGAAAAAAAAAGGGTCGACCGTGCTAACATGGCAGCCGTGGGACGACGGTCCGACTTGACGAGGAGGAGGAGAGGGAGGAGGTCGAGGAGGACAAGGAGGACGAGGAGGAGGACGAGGTGGAGGAGGAGGACGACGACGACAAGGGGGAGTAGGAGGAGAAGAAGAAGAAGAAGAAGAAGAAGAAGAAGAAGAAGAAGAAGAAGAAGAAGAAGAAGAAGAAGAAGAGACGAAGAAGAAGAAGATTAAAAAAAAAATGGAAAAAAAAAGGGTTACGCGTGCTGACGTGGCAGCCGCGTGACGACGATCGGACTTGACGAGGACAAGGAGATGGAGGAGGTGGAGGAGGACGAGGAGGAGGAGCGGGAGGAGCAAGAGGAGGACGAGGATTACCTTACAGAGATGGGCGCCGGACGTGGCAGCAGCTGGAGCACGGGGCCATGCGAGGGCAATTTCGAATGATTCGAATTTGAAACTGACCCTGCCCCCTTCACTCCTCTACATGGACCCGATTCTCTCGCCCCCGCCCCCCCCCCCCCCTGACGACCACCGACACTACCTAAGCCCTCCGAAACCCCGTCGAAAACCGGTACCAGCCCGGGCGAAACGCGTCCGTGGGCCTCGGGAACACGTTCACGACCCGTTCGCACGAACGGACGAATGTGTTCGCCCGAACGGGAAGGTCCGCGAACATGTTTGCCATGCTACACATCATATGTGCTGCAACATCACAAAACAAGCAGCATTTGGTTGAACATCATCTGCAAATTCGTATTATAGTTTAAGAAACAAAATAAAAACAATAATAATAATAAAAATTGTACGGACCCTCAAGTACGAGTAGCGTAAGAGAAAGGAGTACGACTCGTACTCGTATGAGGGTGAGTACAAGTCGCAACGTAGGCAGGAACTTAAGTTTTAATTCATGTTCATATATGACTTAGTATAAATCTGAGAAGTTTACTTCTCTAAAGAAGATGCTGCCCAAATTTTTGGTAAATCAAAGAGTTAGACAAAATTTGACTCTCTAGAGTTAAGGCTCGTTTCACTTTCCATATTAAGTCGAGTATAAATTATCAAAAAACACTTTGTTTAGAGGGAATGCTAATCAAATTTTCTTGCTTTTGAGGAGTTAGTTCATATTTTGATAGAAAGGATTTTGACAACCCACCCTGAATAGGGGAGATGCTGTCAAAATTTTCTTTCCTTTTGACACTTTCCTACGAGTAAGCTTAAACTTAGTCATTAGGAAGTTTACATCACTGAAATATAGGGGTTTATTGAACTTTATTCTTCATACACTTATAGTTTAGTTTTGGGGATTGACCTATGCTTTGTTAGGTCTCTTTTCGACCATTTTGATTCAAGATTGCACTAGTTTTAGTCTGATATTGCGATGATTATCTCTTATTACCTTTTGATAACAGGTTGGTTGCCAATTCACCGGTTTACGACTCTACCCCAACTCACTCTCGCCACTCAACCTAAAGGTCTTAGCCTCTGTGGGTTGAATTGTTTCTTTAGGTTTATACCCGTACTTTTATTGAATGGTCATTTGAAAAGGTACTGAGTATTTTATTATGGAAGGTTTGACAAAGGTTGAGGCTTGTATGGATAAAGCAAAGGGGTATGAGTGCAGAGAGTGGTTGAAGATGACCCTGTGTAGTGCATGGTTTTGCCGATGTTGAATCCTTGATATGATTGCAGGTCTGTTTTGTGTCACTGAGTGAAAGTTCGTATTTGAGTTTGTCTGTGATCTTAGATTCATAAGTACATTTTTGAACTTCAAGGGAGTCGCACTGCGATTGTGAAAGAGTTCGCCGTGTGTTTCTTATAACCCCGTTTGTTTATATATGATATG